TTCCCTGTTTTTATATTAGTTTTGTTTCCCTTCCCTTATGTTCATCTGTTTTGTCTCTTAAAGTCCTCATGAGTGAAGTCATGATTTTTGTCTTTCTCTGACTAATTTCACTTAGCATAATACCCTCCAGTTCCATCCATGTAGTTGCAAATGGCAAGATTTCATTCTTTTTGATTGCCGAGTAATACTTCATTGTATATATATATACCACATCATCTTTATCCATTCATCCATCAATGGGACATTTGGGCTCTTTCCATACTTTGGCTATTGTCAATAGTGCTGCTATAAACATGGGGGTGCATGTGTCCCTTTGAAACAGCACATCTGTATCCCTTGGATAAATGCCTAGAAGTATAATTGCTGGGTCGTAGGGTAGTTCTATTTTTAGTTTTTTGAGGAACCTCCATACTGTTTTCCAGAGTGGCTGCACCAGCTTGCATTCCCAACTCTCTTCATCTTCTTATAAGCCCACCAGTCCTATCAGATTAGGACTTCACCTGTATGACCTCATTTAACATTAGTTGCCTTCCCAAAGCTCCAAATATAGTCACACACAGGTTTGGGCTTTGACACATTAATTTTGGGATGACGACTCGGTCTGTAGAAATCTAGGAAATTTAAAATATGTACACGTAAAATTTTTTTAAAAATTTTTACCTGCTTTTTAAAGAGCCTAATATGGGGGCAGCTGGGTGGCTCAGTTGGTTGAGCATCCAACTTTAGCTCAGGTCATGATCTCACAGTCTGTGAGTTTGTGCCCTGTGTTGGGCTCTGTGCTGACCGCTCAGAGCCTGGAGCCTGCTTTGGATTCCGTCTGTCTGTCTGTCTCTCTCTCTCTCTCTCTGCCCCTCCCCCGCTCATTCTTTGTCTCTCTCTGTCAAAAATAAATAAATATTTTAAAAAAAAATTAAAGAGCCCAATATACACTCATGTGTTCCACATAATTTTTCTATGATAGTTTTTAATGGTTGTGCATAATTTTAAAGTTCTTTTTGGAGTTTTACTACTGTAGTTTTAGAGTTATAAACAATGCTTCTAATAAGCATACAAGTTCCTTTTTTAAAGAAATTGAAATTATGGGGGTGCCTGAGTGGTTCAGTCGGTTAAGTGTCTGACTCTTGGTTTCAGCTCAGGTCATGATCTCTCGGTTCGTGCGTTTGAGCTCCGCGTGGGACACTGACAGTGTCACGCCTGTTTGGGATTCTCTCTCTGCCCTGTCCCCCTGCTCGCTCGCTCGCTCTCTGACTCAAAAATAAATGAATAAACATTTTAAAAAAAGAAATTGAAATTAGGATTTGAATTAATTTTTCATTGCTGCTGTAAAAAATTACCACAGATTAAGTCCTTAAAAGAACACAGATTTATTATTTTACAGTTCTGGAAGCTGTAATCAGTTTCACAGGGCTAAAACCAAGGTGTCAGCAAGCCTGCGTTCCTTCTGGAGGGTCTAAGGAAAATCGATTTTCTTGCCTTTTCTAGCTTCTAGAGGCTGTCTGCATTCTTTGGCTCATAGCCCATCTTCAAAGACAGCAGTGTAGCATCTTCCAATCTCTCTGTTTCCAGTCTGTCTCAATTGCCTTTTTCCAACTCTGTGTCCTGCCTTCCTTTTATAAGGACACTTGTGATTACATTTAGAGCCCAGTCAGATAATCCAGGATAATTTCCCTATCTCAAGACCCTTAATCACATCTGCAAAGTCCCTTTTGGCATGTAAATTAGCATTCACAAATTTTAGAATTAGGTTGTAAATGTTTTGGGGGAGCCATTATTCAGCCTCTCACTTCATTTGGTAACATTCAAGAAATAATGGTCCTTGGGTGATAAACACACTGAAGTTTGAAAAGCACGGAGACAGACATTGCCATTTTTTAACTGTTTTCATTGTCATTCCCATGGGAATGAAGGATATATATGTACATATATATTATATATATAAATTATATATTTATGTATATGTACATATATTTATATATTTATTATATATTTATATATAAATCATATATTT